CGGTTTTTAGAGCACCCAGATTTAAATTGTGCGGAGAACATCGCACCACGTATTTGCCGAGCCCACCCCCTCCTTTGAGGACACCCTTGCTCGTGGTACCGTTTCCTCTCCCCTTACCACACCCTCCAACAAAGCATTTGCTGACAGGTCATGCCCTTAAGGCCACTGAGAAGCATAAAGTGACCCAGACCCTCGGGTCAAAGGGCGCACAGCAGGAGCGTCACAGGGCGATGCAGGCGAGGAAGCTGCACGTGAGCCAGGGCTGTTTATTAGAGGTGTATATTGAGGTGAAACAACGGCTACAGGGAGATGCAGCGCTGAGGAGAGATGGGGCAAAACCCACGATGGACAAAGCCCGTTCCTCCTAAGGCCACGTACCCAGCAGGAACTCTGCAATCGGTGAACACGTTCTTTCTCAAACTGCACCTGCAGTTACAGGCCCATCTGTTTCGGTACTTGGAACAACCCCCTTCGACCGTGGCATAACGAGATGCGTCACAGCCGCTGTACCAGCCGTCCCCCAGCACAGGTCCCAGTGGGGAGGCGCTGGATGAGCGACGTGGGGAGACGAGATGCTTTGTGACCCTCTTCTGTTCAGAGTCACGTCTCTAATGTCTTGATAACTAGGAAATGTCGGCAGCCAAAGTCAGTAGCCATTTTTGACAAGCACATCTTTGTGACTACTGGGTTTTCAGGGTCCCTCGGTTGTACCACGCACGCTCAGAATGAAGCTGCCCCAGCCCCTGTCGCAGACGAGGCTTTACGGTCTCACCCTGAGGCTTGCCAGCAGCAGAGCTGTTCCTGCTTTCACCTGGAGTTCCCCTCACGGAGTTGCTTCCAAGGTCATACCTATAGTTGCATTAAATAACTGGTACAGTGGCCTAAAAAAAGCGAAGTGGCCCTTGGGCCGTAAAACACTAACTTGCTAAGCTTCTGCACGTGCGCCAGCTTCCATCACTAAGTGCCTCAAGAATTATCTGGCAAACAGCAGTCTGGATGAGAGCTTTTGCCATCACCTATTTCCACGTAAGAGCTACTTGGGCGCTCTGCAGACATTCCTAATGCTCTCAAAACCGGGAATGCCCTGGACACAGCCAGAGCTGTACTTTAAGGCAGAGGGCTTGGCTTCCAGCTTTCTCAACCTCTCAGCATCTGAATTAAGGGTTAAAATGATGCGATTCTGACTTTTAGTAAAATACAGCATCTGCTAGTTCAGTATTTCTGAGCGAGCACGTGTGATGTCAGTAATCAACAGGGGTAGGAGAGGCACCACTGCAAGCCTGGGCGAGGCGCGGGGAAGTTCGGGTGTCGGGCAAGCCGTGCTCCTCGTCAGGAGAGGCAATTGAGATGCCTGTTCCCTGCGTGTTTTCTGCAGCCACCGGCCAACTGAGGCCAAGCTAAACCAGCAGGTGAAAGAGCGTTATCTCCCCAAACAGGCAGCAGAGACACGTGTGGCTGCAGCAATCCCCTCGGGAGCAGGCAGGAAAGGGAAATTAAAGCTGACACACAATTAGAGTAAAGTGAGTCTGAAGTGCTCCTGAAAGCCCATGGAAAGCAAGCGGAAATCAGGCAGAAGCTATTTCTAGGCAGAATTTGGGGGGGGAGAGAGGCAGAAATAGGCTTTTGCCCAGAACTACATTCAAACCCTCCCAAGAATCCAAATTTGGCGTTCAACGCTTCTCCCGTCTGCTCGCTCTGTGCCAGCTGAGCCGCAGGGAGCCGCAGCCTGATGGCAGAAAGGAAAGAAGGAACAAATCAGAAGAGGGTTCTCGCAGTTAGCTTAGACAGACCTGAGGACCTGTGCCTGAATTCCAACCCAGGGAGCGCTCCGGGATCCTAACGGAATTGAAGACAAGCAGAGGGGCTCAGCACCTTTGGAAAATCAGCCCACTTATCTCTGTAGATGACACTGCCTTATCTCGCTAACGCTGGCGGCATCTTGCGTGCAGCTGAGAGCAAGACCTAGTGGGTGTTAAACCTGTTCATCATGACGGGCCAGTGAGAGGGAAAATAACTTGAGGAGAGGCGGGGGGAGCAGGAATTCTGCTATCTTAGCCAGTCAGGAACTGCTAGAAACATTCCGATACGTGCTGCTGAGGATTTCCCGGGCTGCTTTCTTCAGCTTGGCAAAACCCTGCAAGCAAATAAAGAGAAGGTGAAGGCTGGGTAGCGCACACAGCCGCCTCCCAGAGGTCAGCAGTGCAGATGAACGCGCAGGAACGGGACGGAAAGGCTCGCCAGTCACATCGCATTAGGAGGCAAAGCCAGCAGCGCAGAGAGAGGCAGGTGCCCTCTCCCCTCTCCTGCCCCGCCGCGGAGGAAACCAGGTCCCCTTTATGGCCTCACTGCAGCAGGAGCGTGTCTGGTTGCCACCATGGTGACTCCTGCCCCATCCAGACAAAACAAACCCACATCCACCCTACTTCCTTGCTGATCTGTTGACAGAGCGTACAACTCCCACGTTCTCCCAGTGGTTTTCATCTCACAGGATCTTTGAGTAGTAACTGCGTCTGCCACTGACGCTGCCTCCAGCACCCCGCCTCCTGCGGAGGGTTAGCCCGGGACGCGAGGAAGAACTCTAATGACCGTCAGAGAGGACTCTCAACCCCTAAGGGACACTGCTTTCATCGCTCAAGCCAGCTCTCTGCTCGTCTGCCCCCGGTGAAGCTGACACAGCCTGTTTATCACATTATGGTCGGAGATTCTGGCTCTGACCGAGACCCCTGGGACTGGCTCTAGCATGTTTCCAGCTCATTTTGTAACAAGGGTCACTGCTTCCCACTTTTCAGCCACAGGAAAATCCCGGCATGGGTCACTCAGTAAATGTGAGGGTTAAATGCTCTTCATTCCGTGAACTCCAGGAGCTCTCCCATCCAGCCGTTTCAGCTGACACTGCAAAGGGACACTCACCTAGAAGAGTTTCTCGTAGCACTTGTCACAGTGGACAATGTCCCGGTGGATGAAGATTTTATCCAGGAGATCTCCCATGGCTTTGTGGCAAATTCCACACTGCCAAAGGGAAATAAGGTGGTTGGACAGTAACCAGAGCACCAGGACAGGGCTGTATCCGGAGAGGTGCAAGGACAGCATGGAGGGGGCAGAGAAACAGACAGGCTCTGCATCATTTTGAAAGGTGCGAGGATGCCAAACTGGGCACCGTTGAGACTAAACTTTTCTACAACAGACCAGTGCCACTGCAGGATTCCAACCCATTCCCAGATCCTGTGATACTCTGGAAGTCTGAGGACAGAATCTGCACCGAGATTCCTCCTCCCACCACTCCACGGCAGCACACAGAGGGCAGTTAAGGGGGGGATTTACCCTGAAACAGTATTCGTGGCAGCAGATGTTCAGATGCTCTATTATGATCTTAGGGCAGTCTCGGATCTCACGGCTGCAGTAACTGCAAACGGGTTCGCTGGACCTGTGAAGGAACAAGCGTGAATTCCTCTGCCCCGGTGGTGGTACCAGAGGTTTCTTACCTAACACCAGCACCGCACTCCATGAGCTACCTGCTTCTACGTGCGCTTGACTGTGTCAAGCGACAGTAAAGAGAGACACATGTTGTCCCAGAGACCACAACAGCAGGGCAATACAGATCTTTAAATCAATGTCCCTGCGTTTTCCAAAGCTCATTTACACTTCGTGCTGTTATTTCACCAAACACATACCGATACTCCAAAAAAGCAAAACGTAAACATCATTTCTGTTTAACAGTTCAGTGAAACCCCCAAGGCAGCCCCGAACTGTCCTACCTCGGCAGGGGAGTGCTGGACAGGAAGCTGTGGTGGCTGTAGGTCGCTCTCTCCAAATCCGCAAGGCTACCACTGGGGAGAGAAGGAAATCTCAGCACTTGAGCGTGATAAATGGGAAAAGCATCTCAGCTGGAATCACTAACCTAAAGCCCTAATTGCAACGTCCCAACTGCAACTAGAGACCGATGGAGTCTGTAACAGCTACCCCAGTCACGCCAGCACGGCACTGAGGGGGGATCAGCACCAGCAGGGCAGCATCAAAGCGGGTGTCCACTGGCTGCCGCATCCGTGTGAGCACCATGTACCTGGGGCCCAATTCTGCTCTCGGTCACATTGGTGTCAACCTGGAGCAGCTTTAGTTTGCTACCTTGGAGCAGAATGTAAAAGACTGAAGACTTAAGCTTGAAAATGGCACTTTTAACTTTTTCTAATGCATGAATAAGGTTTTTTGAGTGAAAAACCACAACCTCCACATTTTTCTCACCAATTCCAACACTTTGACGTGTGCAAATGCAGTGTGCAAGCAGCGGACGCGTGCAAGTGCCAGACATGCAGCCCACCTTGGAAGCCAAGCCACTTGGCAGGGTCGTGGGACAGAGGCTCTGCTGTCACCGCAACGGGACCAGGCAGCACAGGAGATTGTGGAGATACAGGTCAGGGTCCCCAGAGCAGCAAAACTCTGCCTGCCCAACGTAATGATCCCTCCAGGGCTAATTAGCTAGGGCACAGCGGCATCTTGATGCAGCTCCAGCGCGGGCGCTTGCTTATGCGGGAGCTGGCCAAGCCTTACGCTGTTGCTTTGCACACGCATGTCAACACACGACTGTCTCTGGACACTCCTCGTACCTGCCGTAGCGTGGGGAGGCTGACAACTCGCTGCTGTTGACGTACTCCTTCACAAAGAGGATCCCTTTCCTAGAGGAAGGGAAGGAGAAGCATTTCCATTAGAAAAGCCTGGAGCTAATGAGAGAGGCGCAAGGGACCGCATGTGTGTGTGCTTGGAGACGTCACATGGGCGTGAAAAGGCAGAGTGTGGTGCTGCTGTTCTTGAATAAACGCTGAATGTCAAGCACTGTTGCTAAATAACACCTAATACACCCCGCTAATTAACCCACCAAAACAAATCAAGTTAATTAAAAAGAATGGGATGGATAATATAACTCATCCAGTTATCCCCTGTTTTGCAAGGATAAGTCTTTTTCAAATCCTGTCAGGATTATGCACACAATAAGCATTTAGAGAGCTTGTGGTTCTGCCCGTTAACGGTGAAACCCGACTGGCACAGCACGACTTACAGGCCCTGTTTTGTCCCTGGAACACCTCCAGCGTTTTCATCCATTATAAACTGCTACTGGTCTGTTTTGGGGGTGTTTTTGCTTAGAGCTGACCTTTCTTGCATATTCCTCCCTCTTTAAAATTCTGAATTCAAACCAACATGCCCCCAGCTGTCTGTCTACAGCCCTGTCGCAGATCGAGGGGGGACACTGTGCCCACGGCTCTTCCCAGAGCCATGAAAGGGACTAATCAGGCTCTTTCTCCATGGTGCATTTTCGTTGCTGCCTATAAGCTACGATTAATCCTCTCATGTGAGCAAACTAAGCCATGTCACAGCTAAGGAAAGAAAAGCGCCTTCTTTTAACTTCCCATGGATGCCTCCCCATGTCGAGTGGTTCAGATGAGTCTCCTCCCTGGGTGGTGCGACCAGCGGGCTGCAGCAAGGCCAGCACCCAAATAGCACCCATCAAAGCCTACGCTGGAGGACTTGTGACTTTGCCAGGCTAAAGAGAAAAGACGCAACTCATACATCCTGATCCCTAAAAAAGGGCACCTGGAGAAAAGCACCTGGCCCATCTCTCCCTTTTGGGTGCCTCTGGCCATGGCAATGGCTGTGCTCGTAGCCAGAACTGGCGGAGACATGGCCCGTGGTGGCCAAAAGCCAAACCAGGGGTGCTACATGCAAGACCTGTACTGCAGCAGGAGGATCCCAAGCCCCCGTTGCTCCTCACCCGGCAGTGCTGGGATCGGGCTGGCACCCAGAGGCCACTGGGCTGTTGTGCTGCAAGGTGGCCATCGGACTGCAGATCCTCTCGCTCGAACTGGAGAGAAGCCTGCAAGAGAGAAAGATCTGTGGGCACTGGAGACACGAGCCATGACACACCCAGAAGGCCAACCGTATCCTGGGCTGTATCCGGAGAGGTGTGGCCAGCCGGTCAAGGGAGGGGATTCTGTCCCTCTGCTCTGCTCTGGTGAGACCCCACCTGGAGTGCTGCGTCCAACTGTGGAGCCCTCAATATCAGAAGGATATTGACCACTGGGAGCGAGTCCAGAGGAGGCCACGAAGATGATCAGAGGGCTGGAGCACCTCTGCTATGACAAAAGGCTGCGAGAACTGGGCTGGTTCAGCCTGGAGAAGAGGAGGCTCCGAGGAGACCTCATTGCAGCTTTCCAGTATCTGTAGGGGGCCTACAAGGGTACTGGGAGAGGACTTTTTACAAGAGCCTGTAGTGATAGGACAAGGGGTAATGGGTATAAATTGAAATCAGGGAGGTTTAGATTAGATGTCAGGAAGAAATTCTTCACGGAGAGGGTAGTGAGGCACTGGAACAGGTTGCCCAGAGATGATGTGGATGCCCCATCCCTGGATGTCTTCAAGGCCAGACTGGATGTGACTTTGAGCAACCTGGTCTAGTGCAAGGTGTCCCTGCCCATGGCAGGGGGGTTGGAACTAGATGATCTTTAAGGTCCCTTCCAACCCAAACCATTCTATGATTCTATTCTATGATTCTATGATTCTATATCTGTTTCTAATTATTTTACCACAAGCTGGCAGCCCAGAAAACCCACCACTGCTGTTAGGAGGGTGCATTAATTCATCTTTATTGCAGACCGAAAGGCTCCTTTCCCTTTTACATCTCCCACATAACAGTACTACTTCCCTGGAGAAGTGGTTTGGAAAAGTCTCCTTTACAAGGCCGTGGGAGAAAAGATCAAAAAAGATCTTTTCGCAAGTACAGACTGTAAGGGAATCACGTGGCCTGCATGGAAGCAGCCATGGAGGGAAACAGCACAGACACACTGCAGATGAGGAGGAGACGGGGACACACCGGCCAGGGTCGGTAACTACCCCAGAATAACTACCCCCGACTTCGTAACTTCAAAACCTGCGGAAGGGAGAAGGTGGCAAAACTATGGCTACTGAAATGCTAATTAACAAGAATACATAATAAGTGTATTGAATGACAAGATGTAACTAAGTAACATGAAAACTGGGGACACACACACACACACTTTTCCCAAGGCAGGGAACAAGGGGTAACGGGCTTAACTGGAAAGAGGGAGATGGAGATGGGACATCAGGAAGGACTTCTTCCCGCAGAGGGTGGGAGCACTGGGACAGGTTGCCCAGAGAAGCTGTGGATGCCCCATCCCTGGGAGTGGCCAAGGCCAGGCTGGATGAGGCTTGGAGCAACCTGGTCTATGGAAGGTGTCCCTGCCCGTGGCAGGGGGTGGCACTGGGAGGGCTGTAAGGTCCCTCCCAGCCCAAACCATTCTATGGTTCTAGGTATCACAGTCCCTGTGCTGGGCAGCCTTTCCTAGGGATGGTTTAGGAGTAGTTCTGTGCCTCTAGATCACACATCCACTCCCTGGAAAACATTCCTCTCTCTCAGCTCTTGGCTCTGCTTCCCAGCTTCTCTCCCACAGCAGTTTCACAGAGGTGTCCCTCACAACCATCAAGACTACCCGCTTACCTGGTGCTGTCATAGTTTAAGCTGTCCATGTAGAACGGCACCCTGTGGCTTCTCTGGGAAATGGGCATGGTGGTATCTCTAAGAAGGGAGTCATGGCTATGAAAGAAAGTCATACAGTCTCTTGAGCACGCGAGGGATTCTGGGTAAACGTTTCCCTGCTTCGCATCCAAATCGCCCACATGCCACAGCCATCCATGCAAACAGCACCTCACCGCACACGCTTAGATCCAGGGAATTAGTAAGTGGGTCAGGACACTCCAGACACTGAATAGATGTAGCAGTGGAGTATTCTTTGGGCTAGGGAGTCTGGATTCCCTTGGACTTCTTACCGTCCGGCTGCAGGGTTAAATTCACAGCGCCCCCTGTCATATCTGCTGCTCCCGGGGCTGCTCCTTCCATCATAAACTCGCCCTTCGTACTCTGGGGTGGGTCTGGCGAGGAAGCACAAAGCCCCGATTACATTGTACCGGGACTCACTGGTGTCCCCACATGGGCCAGGTAATATTTTGTCTCGGTAGCCACACCGTGAGGCATTCTGCCCTTGCCCTGCCCAGTCCCCCTGGGACGGTTCTGCAGCACACATGGAGCTCTGAGGGCAGGAAAGCAGCCTCAGCATCTAACGCTTGAGAGTAAAGCCGAAGCAGTTCCTAAAGGGATATCACTTCAATATTGTTTCCTTTCCCAGCGCTCAGCAAAACCCCCGCCGCACCATCTGCACGTGTGAACTGCTGACCAGCTGGCTCAGCTGGGGGTCAGAGCGGTGCATTTTAACTCTTCCAGAGAGAACTCGTTATCGGAACGGCTACAACCCACAGGCAGAGCTCAGGCTCTTGCAATAGAGAAAAGGAGCTTATAGCTTACGGTCATTCTTTCCTTGCGAGTGCCCCGGGGCACAGATTATGTTTATGTTGTATATCAGCGCTTTGATCCTGATTAAAGCTTCAGGCAAATGTATAACTTAATGTTAAACAATGCTAAAACCCACTGCAAATCAATGCTGTATTAAAGAGAGAAAGAGGGACAGGCCGAGCTCATCAGACGAAGAGAAAAGCCCCGCTCTGGGCAAGACACGCATTTGGTCTGTGCTGGAAACCCAGGGGCTGGAGTGAAGCAGGAGTTTCTTGCAGGGCACAGACACGTCAGCATCACCCGGCGCTGGCGGGTGATGACAGGCTGTGAAGTACAGGAAAGGTCTGTCCCATTTTTTCTAGTCTTAGTCTGCAAACCCCTCCAAAAGCAAATGAGAGCTTTGTGACACCAACTTTCTGCAAAACGTTGGAAGAGGTGAAGGATACAGCCAGATCACACAAATGAACACCAATAGTAGTTAATCAGAGCACAACTTGGGTCTCATGTCATTGAGGGCCATGAGAAATAAGACCCAGACTGCTCCTGAATCATCGTCTCTGCAGTTCCAGAGGAGCAGCAGATGTGGCCTCTCCACATCTGTCATGTTCCCAGGCATCATGTCGGTGCTCTGAACACAACCTGCCAAGAACTCTCCAGTGTCAGAGAGCGATTATCAGCTCAGATCTCCTGAATCCCTTCTTCAGCCCTTCAGGTCCAAGAAAGATCACGTTCCACGTGTTGTGAGACCTGACAATACTCTGTGTCCCTCTGGGAACAAAACCCTGTTCTCGCTTCTTGATACAGTGATCATACAGTGATCTTGATACAGAAACCAGAGTTTCTGCCAAGGATGTCGTGCCAGCGGCTTTCCCTGCCTCTGCAGCCCGTCCCCGAGCCCTTACCTTCGGGTGCTGAATACCTGGCTGTCTACATAGGAGGGTATCCTGTGACTGGGTGCTACCACGCTGGCGCTGAAAGGCTGGCGGTCCCCGTACAGCGACGCGGGACGCTGGGTCTCAGAGGCACCGAGGGCACTCTCTTCTGAGCTAAAGTTAGACCTGCTGAAGAATTAGAGCCAATTTGACCATAAACCCCATAACGATATTTGCTATGAGCAGCTCACACAAGTGTTTGGGATTTGCAGAGGCTGGATCATGGCTCTTTCTACTGGGAATGAGGAAGACCTGGGACATCATGCTGTACGTAGGTTGCTAAGGTCAGGGGGGATGCCAGAGGTCTATGCTACTTCCCCTCACCTACATGAGCTGAATTCCCAGCACAATGAAATGATGCAAGACTCAGCAATTATCTAAGTTAACAGGTTTCATTTCAGTTAATTTGAACACCCACATGTAGGTGGAATCCTAAACATGATAATCCTTTTGTCGGTCCACTGGGCAGGTGTGCATAGGTCCAGGACTTCAGCCAGGTTTATATCAGGAAGGAGGAATGGCAAAGGATGAGGAATTGAAAAGAGGACGACTTGGCTGAATACAAGCTGGCAGTGTGCCCAGGTGGCCAAGAAGGCCAACGGCATCCTGGCCAGCATCAGGGACAGTGTGGCCAACAGGACCAGGGCAGGGACCGTCCCCCTGTGCTGGGCACTGGTGAGGCCGCACCTCGAATCCTGGGGTCAGTTTGGGCCCCTCACAGCAAGAAGGGCACTGAGGGGCTGGAGCGTGTCTGGAGAAGGGAACGGAGCTGGGGGAACTGGAGCAAAGTTCCTGTGAGGAGCAGCTGAGGGAGCTGGGGGGTTCAGCCTGGAGAAGAGGAGGCTCAAGGAGACCTTATCACTCCCTACAGTTCTGAGAGGAGGGTGCAGGGGGATGTGGGGGTGGGGTGTTGGTCTCTTCTCCCAAGTGACAAGTGATGGGACAAGAGGAAACAGTCTCAAGTTGTGCCAGGGGAGGTTTAGATTAGATATTAGGGAAAATGTCTTCTCAGAAAAGGCTGTCAGGCACTGGAAGGGGCTGTGGAGTCCCATTGGAAGGGTCTGTGGAGGGAAGTAGGGAGTCACCATCCCAGGAGGGATTTAAGAGCCATGAGGACAAGGTGCTCAGGGACATGGGTTAGTGGTGGGCTGGGGCGGG